AATGTAATTAACGACTTTATAATGGATTTTAAGCAGGAACTTAACTAGAGCTACCAGCCAGGCAAACACTAATCCTGCCTTGGCAAAGACAGGCCATTTATTTAGACTTACTGTGATTTATCAACAGTGCCAACTGAGTACAGCAGCACTAGTTTCTGCATGTCAACAAAGCAATATCTGACTGTCATTTACATAGTTATGTTATTTCAAGGGGACAAATGCCTTTAAGGTAGCAGTATTTAGTTGAATGTGAATTGCCATAAACTCAATATTTCAAGACAATGTGAAGTGTAACTCTCGATGAAGTCAAATAAGATAAACGTTGTACAGCATTTCTGTCATTTGTTTTTATATCTAATAAGCTTGTAGCAGTACCTTGGTATGTGGGGGGTTAAGGTTAGAAATGTAGGCTAAACTGTTTAGTGTTTTTTCCAAATTCAAATGGAAACCACTGAATTGATTGAAAATGGAACAAAATGGAATGAAACAACACAGTTATAATGCTGTTTACCTGACAACAACTAATTCCAAGTCAGAGAGAATACCATGACTTTGTGTAAGGCTTACCGAAATGTAGTGGTAGCTTTAAGAGGAACAAGGGAAATAAATCTGGACTTTTTTAGTTGCAAACTGCAAGGGATGTACAAACTGGGCATCGTGTGAACAGCCAGAACATTTCCATATTTAAGTGCTTAGAGGGAGCACATACACATTTAAAAAAGATGAGGACCCAAGTTTTAACCCTGAGGCACACCGTACTTGGTCAATTTGAGAGGTGGGTTCTAAAACAGTCAAGACACAGTGAAGCTGACCCAATCATACAGGCTGTGTAAAGCCTGCTCAAGGTTTCTACCTCATTGTTGGGTAATTTTATAAGGAGTGCAGTCTAGACCTTCTATATGAAAAGTATCCTGAGATAACTTCTGTTATGAATTGGCGCTATACAAATAAAATTGAATTGAATTGAATTGAATTACTTCTGTTTTGATTTGCCATTCATATTCATATATATCGCTGTATCACCCAACTACAGTTGATCAAATAAAACCTGTACTGAGGTTTTGCCTGCATTTACTGTTAATGAAATATCATTTGTGAGCACACTGGAAGCTGTAAAACCTTCAGCTTTTCTATTACCATCTATTATTTTATCATTAAAAGTAATCCCTATGAACATAGATAACATAATATACCAGATTCCTCCCAATACAGGTGCTCTGCTACTAGTTGTCAGTGTAACTGAGCTCTAGACATTTCCCCAGTTGGGGTCATCTGAAAGGTTCAGTCTGACTTGTCAATCGTGTATTTCAGCAGATGGTTGGGTGAGTAATGGAGAAAGGGATGAAGGCTTGTCTTTGTGTTCTTCTTGTGTCAGACTCACTCATGGCATTTTAAAGACATGTTGTTTTACTTTATAATAACCACACACACACATCATTTCAGTCACCAGCAGAATCAATCCAGACGTCACAGCGTCAGGCCAGCTTCCTATAAGGTCTGCCTCGCCTCTCCGCTGCTAATAGGAAATGTTCCCTAACATCTGTGGTCTCCATCCCTTCTCCCTATCTCTCCACTCTCACTGCCTCACTCTCTCTCTCTCTCTCTCTCTCTTGCTCCCTCTGTCTGTCTCTGAGCAGTAGAATAAATTGAATTAGAGCTCCACCACCCACTCTGCAGGATCCTGCAGCCCTCTGTCAGATAGCTAAACAGAGAGGAAGAGAGAGGGAGAGAGGGAGAGAGGGAGAGTTGCAGAGAGATAAACAGAGGGCAAGAAGAAAGACGGGTATAATAAAAATCCCCCTGCCCCTATAAAGAATAAAGAACAGTCCTTACAGCCTCTTTACTCCCCTGTACTACAGCCTGATAAGAGGCAACACATTTGTTTTTTATTTTTTAGAGCTTTGTGGGGACTGTGAGAGGCAAAAAATAATGAGCGAGACAGGACAAATAAAGGATAAGAGAGGCGTTGCTTCTGCCTCACCTCAGCCTTCACTATACATGCCAAGAGGAATAAAATAACAAGTGATCTTTCATTATCAAGCTAGCAACACACACAAGCACACACTCAACCGTGGACCAGATGTTTATCCTTAAGTTCTGTACACTTTCAACGCCATTCATTTGGTGCCGACGCCACTACAGCTAATTAAATCTCAAAAACTAAGTGGAACTCTGGAGTAGCTTTAAAGTACAACTTATTTCTTCCCCGTCTTCCATTTCCCGGTAAAAACTCAAAACACAATCTGTAACACAAATGCATTGCCATTCATCCTGAACCTAATGGCACGGCAAACCACTCCTTTTAGGCATAAATAGGAGGCTAAACACAACTAAAATGGACTGAAAATCACAAGTTTCTCTCCCTCGCTCACTCACCCACACTCTTTTTCTAGAGCCAGGGAAGCATTTGCATAATGCCTCCATATCCACGGGCCATTAGCACCAGCATGAGTGGCTCGTGTGCATAAATGTATTGCCTTGATCAATCAATGTGAGCTACTGTACCGGTACAAACCGATGAGACTCCAATCCAGCAAAGGATAGAGGCACAGGAAAGAAACACAGCATGTCATGACATTTCACAGTCCTAAATTACAGACACATTAAACCCCACAGACCCTCACTGGAAAAAGGTTTGATTAAAATGGTAATTTGTAATTTGAGATAATTTCTACTAATTTACTGCACATTATAATTAAATTGAAAAACTTCTCATTTACTGAGGAACCCCATAGAACCCTTTGCAAGGGCCTGTGTCAACAGCACACACTCTGATGTGCACTGATATAAAAGTAGATTCAGTGCAGGTGCTCAGGAGAACATGACTGCATTAGCTTTAATAAAATGCCATAAGAATGCATGGAGTTTTCAATTTTTAAATACCAGCTCAAGTCACATACACTCATGGGACTTGAAAAAAACTCTGCATGACCAGGTGCTTCCACTTCACTTGACTTTTAAAGCCGATTTCAGTTTTCAGTTTCAGTGTGTTCGGCAGAGCGCGGTCAGTAAGCTCAGTTCACAGAGTCAGCAACAGACTACATTACAGCATACCCCACCAAAGACAGGCTATTTCATTTATCAGAACAAGCTGCATGGATGCCTTGCTACCTTTCATGTGTTATCGCCCTCATAAGGAATGCATCCGAGCCAAAGGACCGAGCAGAATTCAAAACCCAAAATCCACCCAAATTCATGAAACAAAGAATCAATACATTTTTCTGGGCTTCCATGTTTTTGAGCTCCAATTTCATTCTGTGGGCTGTAGGCAGTATCAAACCATGCAACCATTCAATATCGAATGGATAAAGTGAGATCCCTTTTGAGATGTTTGGCCATTCAAACTGTAACAGGCACAGACAATCAATTTACAGGGGAGATATAGCAATGGTAGATAATCTCGTAAGGGTTTAGATTTGACTTTTTTTGTTCACCTTGAATGTTGAGTATGTCTTCCTATAGATCCCAGCTCTGTGGGGTGTGTGTCTCCTGCTCCAACAGGACGTTTACAATAACCAAGGTCCTCTTGCAGCGAGCACAGCTCCACCAGGCTTCCACTCACACAAACACAATATAGCAGTACAATGGATACAAATGCCGGAGCACTTCAAAGCAAGTAAACAATATGTCATTAATCTACAGTTTGTGCTCAAAGGGGGCATTTTCACAATGCGGCTCTACCTTTAACTTCATATTAGAGATCATTTGCAATTTGAAGTAAAAGCCACAAATAATGAGCCCTTAATGAGAACATGTGAACAATTCTATATCAGATTGCAGTATTCAAAGACAGTGTGTGGGAGAAGGTGCACCAACACTGACTAAAACACAGTAAAAAGCCCATTCTCTCTGGTAGCGTTCAGTTGAGCTGCACTGTACTGGATCCCATTCCATTCACCGTGTCATATACCCAGTATTGGGTGTCAGGACACGCGCACGCACACACGCACGCACACACCTATGATCATTTCAAACTGACAAGTGACAGAGACGCACACACGCACTCAACACACACACGCGCACACACGCACAAAAATGCGAAAGCTCCATCATCATCTAGCTGCGTGCCAGGTTGTTGCGCACACACACACACACACACACACACACACACACACACACACACACACAGTGCACAGACAGATGAGTCTATGCACTGTGTGTTTTTTGTGCAGTCGCATAGGTTAAGTATATAACATTTGCACACGGCTTACACACAAACACAGTCTCTTCACTCACTGCCTGCCCTCCCCTCCCTCTCCCTCTCTCCCCTCCCTCTCTCCCTCTCTCCCTCTCCCTCTCTCCCTCTCTAGGTACAGGTGCAGCGCGTGGCGCACAGAAAGGGGCCGCGGCGCACTGTTTGTGCGCGCGTGGAACTTTAATAACTCGCTGTGCCCCTTAAAGGAGGCTAAAATGCCCCGGTACCCCGCCCGAGCATCAGAGCGGGTGTACGGTTTGCTGGAGACACACCGCGCGCGCGCACAACTTCTCCTTCTCCCCGGCGGCACTGACACGCGCTTGTGTGCGCGCGCGCGCCCATACAGGGTACGGGTGCAGAGCTGCTGAAATGTAGCCTCCTGAAACTAGCCTACGTCTGGGTCCACCAAACACGGTGTGTCTCTCTCTCTCTCTCTCACACACACACACACACACACACACACACACACACACACACAGCTTCTATAACTTATACCGGGCTCAATTTTGACCTTGCAATGTTCTCAGCGCTGTTTTTCCTAGCCTACAACCCCCCCCCCACCGCCCCTCCACACCCCCACCGCCCCATTTCAGCACCCAGACTAAATGTCCAAAGGCTACCATATAGGAATTACTACCCCTGCCCTTTTTTTTTTTTTCTGTTACCCCTCAGCACCCACCATTCCTCTGCTCCAACAGACGCAGCCACAGAGACAGAATTAGAAGAAACGGAGGGACACAGGGGAGGAGAGGACCGAGCCGTCATTACGCCCGTGTAAAAAGAAATAGAGGAGTTTAAACTTTACCTCTTTCCGGGTGTTACGGTTCCTTCGTTCAGTGTCAGGTCGCAATTATCTTCCCAAATCCCATAATGAGAAGGACGGTGGTGATTATAGTTGTAACTCCACACAAATAGGCTCCAGATAAGAGAACGCGCCCCATATATGTGGATATCGAGGGAAGTGCGTGTAATATCCTTTGGGTGGCTGTAAATTCCGTACGGGTTTATAGTTCAATCCGGTCTTCCAGAGGGGTGCGTCCGTTTTGCATGCTCACAGCGCCCGACGGCTACATCCTCCTCTTCTCCCTCCTCTCTCTTTCTCTCTCTCCCCGTCTTTTTCTCCCGGTTTCATCCCTCCATCCGCGGGGTGAGGGAAGAATCCCATCCGAGAGAACCTGAAATGATTCCCTGCCCCCCCACCCTCCAACTCTTCCCAGGCGCTTCTTTTCTTCTCTTTTTCTGCCCTCTTCTTCCCGGCAGTGCCTCCTCTCCCTCCTCGCGGCGCTCTCCTCGCGCAGGTGAAATAGGAAGAATTCCACTAGAAGAGAAAATATCCCAGGTAAAAGGGCGGAAAAAGTCTAAATATTCCAGTAGAACATTCCCGCGGGTTGGGGCAGAGTTTGTCGGTTATTAGACACTCCTGGAAAATCCACAGTAGTCCCTTTCCTGCTTTCTTTGGAGACCGTTAAACCGGTGCAATAACGGATTTTTGGATTTTCACTTCACAGGCGCGAGCTTCTAGCTCTCCCTCCCTCTCTCTCCTCTCTCTCTCTCTCTCTCTCTCTCTCTCTCTCTCTCTCTCTCTCAGTCTCCGAGTCTCTGTTTACGTCGCTCTCCCTCTGTTAACTCGACTCTTTGCGTCTCCTCTGCAGTCTGGAATGCGAGGGAACAAAAGAAGAAAGAAAAGAAGAAAAAGAAAATAAAGACGAGTTAACGTCCCGGTAAAGCTGTCGTCCGGTCACTCACGCCGAAATCTTGCCGGTACAGTCCCGCTGATCCTCGGTGCTCCTCGCCGGTCGCCTCTCCCGCACCGTTAATCCACATAGCGCAGCGGGCATGACAACTCCCAGGTTTGCTCAAATAAAAGACTACGACTTCCTGGTGGAGTTTTCAAAATAAAACCAATTCACCAGGCACCGTATTGCGAATCCACAATCTGCAAATTATACTTCTGGAGTCTTTCGGACAATATTTGTGCACAAATATCGCACGTGAGTGGTCCAGTTTGGCCGGTCCCGGTTGGCCCAAGTCCCCCGGGGCCCTAAAAGCTCCAGGTTCAATGTGGCATACAGAAATGTGATTAATTGTAAATATGTTTAAAGATATTCACCACTACTCAATTACAATATCACCTGAAACTGAAACAGCCAGTTCTTGTATTATTACCTCCTCTTAAAACCAGGTCTCATCCTTTCATTATTCAGTGTATATTCTGCTCTCATGGGCTTTCTAAATAAATATGTTTAGTTTGAACATTCAAAGCTGCAGACACAATGCAAAACACTGGAATGTTGGTGATGGTGGCACCGGGTGTCAAAAGAGGTCCATGGCTCATTTAAGCCAGAGGGCCCCACAGGGCCCCACAGTGGGTTAATCTGGCTGGGTTAATGACATAAGGCTGTCATTTTTAATGAAACTTCTAATGCATTTTTTTATTTTGGTTTAACAAGTTCAATCCTTTCATAAATAAATAAATTATATACTCAGACATCTATATAGATTGCTGGCTCTCATGGTACCACTGGTGGTACGCAAGCTGCCTCTAGTGGTATGTGGAGGAAACTGAAATATATATACAACACTACTATCTACTATCAAATACAACAAAAAAATTAGAATGGAGAGACTTAAACCGTGAAATTGCTGAAATGTGGTTTAAATAAGTTTTGCATTTCCTGTAAATGTAGATTGTAATATAAGTATTATTTCTATTCTTTAACATTGTGTGAGCACTTTGAACAACTTTAATGAACACATTTCCCCCCGGGGATCAATAAAGTAATTCTGATTCTGATCAAAATGCCTCAAAAAGAAATGATTTGATGATTAGCAGATGATTTAGTAATTATATCAAACTATGATTGTCCAGGATCACCTTTTTTTTATATATAGACTATGAAGCTTTATTTTTTATTTTTGTCAATTTTAAATTAAACTGCATGATCTTCCTTCCATTATAGACCAATATCAGTATTAAAAGGAGAGAGAGAAAAAGAAAGAAAAGATTTGAAGTGGGTGTGGTGACTTAAGCTTGCCTTACCGAAGCCAAACCTATATCACTGGTGTTTCATGAACTCGAATAATACCCAACCTTTTATTTTGAAGTGAAAATCACCGTACTTCCGGGCTGCGCTTTAATAATCCTGTGGCGCTTCACGCAGTTTAAAGCCTGCTGCATGGAAGTTGTCAAAGCCCCTCTTATTCCCAGTATCGCGCACCGCAGCAGCATACACCCTGCCGGTCCTGTTAGCGGCTCCGGGCCCACATATTCAACTTATACAGCTGCTTTACTGCATCTGTCCTGCTCATATTGGGCCGCTGTGAGACTCCCCCTGCTCCTCACTCATTCCGCGCATCATCGAGAAAAGTAGAGCGTGCCAGAGAGTGAGGAGCAAGTGCGGCTGCCATCCTTTTCTGGCCCATTTGGAACTGTGTAGCACCATAACAGCAGATATATATATAAATATATATACCACCTCCTGAGATTACATTCTCTCTACCTTCTCTGCTCTGGCTTTAGAGGAGGCGTTATAAAGTCTTAAAAGAATGAGAGTGCTGCATGGGCGACTCTCTCTCTCTCTCTCTCTCTCTCTCTCTCTGCCCTCACAGAATATTGTAAACGGTTTGAGGGTAGAAGAGATGAAAGAGCAGAGAATAAATCCATACTGGTTGTGAATGGGATTCGTCGTGACGCCAAAATTCCTTGGTTAAAAAAGTTAAAACATGGATTTATTTATTTATTTTCAACGATGAAGAGATATTGGGAGAAAATGCTGATTTTCCATTTGTACTTTGTAAATTGAACAACACATCAATGTGCATCAAAGCGGGCCACAGCAAAGACTCCAATGAAAGGCAAAGATAAAAAAGCAAAATGCAGAAATATGTTTGCTGATCTGCAGCTAGAATCCCAGCCATTTTCTAACAGGCTGTCTCCAGATATTACGCTTTGTTTAAGGTGGATCTTTTTAAGCTGAGGTTGCAACTGATATCAGATAAAGGAGTTCACAGGGGTTTATTAAGCTGATGCATCTGACGCCCAACATCTGAGGGGCCGTATCGGCTCTCAGTTCCATAAAAGACAAAACTGGTGATATGGGGTTTCTGCAGGGCACTGATAAGCCTGATGGTGGTCTGTTGAAGCAGAGACTGGAATTTCTGAGGAGGGTAAAGTGGATGAAATGTTTCTACCTCCATTTCCCAGCGAGGAAAATACAACCCTGCTGCTTCACGAAGGCATTTGCTGTCAAAGAGCATTGTTGCTCTTGGTAAATGATGATTGAAATTTTGTAACTGAAATACATCTGCGGTTCACTGTGCAGTCTTTATTTTGATTATTCTTTCTTTAGTCACTTGCACTAGCAGATGAACTGCATAATCTTTTTGCATCCATTATTCTAAAAGCAAAGTTTGACATCACATGACTGAATGTTCACAGATGACGTATTGACCCGATGTAATCCTGAACTGGGGTCCAGATTAGACTGTAGAAATCATCCTCGAAAGACTTGAGAGAATGAGCTTGCATGCCAATCTGTTTAAAATAAAAAATAAAATCGAACTAGATTTGTGTAGGACAGTGTAATATAATAAATCTTTAACTGAACTCCAATTAGTGTATCTCATGTGGTATTAATTGTGCTGAATGACTAGCAATAGCAATCAGTTGCATAAACAAACCACATCTATTATCGTGGAGAAGCTAAAGGCTCCTCAACTTAAATTGTGATCAACGGTATCTGGATTGGTATTGATTCAGTTTGATATGTGTTGTTCTCATGAGACTGAAAAGCGGACGATGCATGCTAGTTAGCAGATAGGTTGTTGTTGGGTTGGAGGATTGCAGTCTGAATGTGGAGTAGTCTTACTTTCTTACGTAATCTTACTATTTCTCTGTAAAATGTGGCCCTATTGTGTAGCTAAATGCAGTTGGAAATCCTGCAGCATGTGACCTGCGTTACCTGCACCGGAGTGATTGTTCATGACAATAAACCGGCGTAATCTAACCTTCAGGCTACTGCTGCTGCCAATCAGTTTATTGATTAGCTCTTAACAGCTGTTAAAGTCATTGAGACATTGTCAGGTGGCTGCTGGGATAGCTCCCTACTGAAATCACTATACATTTGTTAGCTGAGTACGCATAAAAATGAGCAATCGACAATTGGTTAACCGTTTAAACCCTAATCAGGCTTTTTTTCAAGTTGTGTCTCAAATTTAAAGATATAATCAAACCTGAAATATCACTTTGTTACTGTTAAGAGACATCTGGGGGTAATAAATGCTATTTTTATTGTTTTACAGTCCCATAGCATAAAGGGACCACAGTAGACTGTGTATGCAGGGGCTTGATAGAATTATTGATCACCATTCACTCAACAATCGCTCAACTGTCTGCAGAGATTCATCTTTTAGCTTCACGTCCACGCTGGGAGCTGCATAGACTGCCAATTTCTGCTACTAGCCACCTAAACCGGATCCACTTGCTTATGTGCCTAATTAGTTCAGGACAGGTCTCCTACAGTAACATGCAGGCTACTGCCCAGCCTCAGTATGGGCTATGGCTTAAAATTGACAGTGTAGCTTTAATGACAGAGTCCATCTATGGTTGTATCCACTGTTTGAGTTGTAGTAAGCTCTACGGTACACTTCCATTGTTGGTGAAGTAAATGATTTTGCCTTGAGAAGAGGTGGATACAGTATGGTGGACACAAGCCACCAAACTGAGCCCTATTCAGCTGTTAGAGTGGAGCTACACAGCTTCTCACTGTACTCATGCAGGTTATTAGAGATACAGGAAAGTGCTGTCCCCAGCAAAATAAGCATTGGTTTTGACTCCAACAAGACTAGGATGCTGGTCCTTGTCATTTTTCATCAAGTTTGTCAAGTTTTTAATATTTTTTTAGGGAACATTCTTACATCTGTCTGCCAGCAGTTACTTTCTACCCAGAAATGATGTTGCTGAAGTAAAAATATCCAATTTTAAGATTAGGTGGCAGAAAAAGTATGTGAGATGATCTATGAAATGAGTATTTCAGATCCAATTTTTAAAAACAATTTAAAGAGTGGAGAAAAAAAAGCAGTTATATGCTATGTTTTTTTTTTTTTCTTTTGGATGGATAAATTGAGGATAAACAAACACTTTGATACAGAAAATTGAAAATACAGAATATGGATTGTTGGATACTGTTAGGTAATTTGTTAAACCTGATGAGTGAAAGAAAATCCGTCCTACGTCAGGCTTTACATATGGTTTGTTGATGAGCTCAGTTTTGATCTGTGAAATGCATACCATGAGTTTATCCCTTTTGATAGGGTTCACACATATGAAGGTATCCGTTACAGCTTAATTGAGGAGACTGAGATTTCCTCACAAGAATCCACTGCAGATACTGAGTGAATTTAAAGTAGCCTCTCAGAACACACCTAATCCTCAAACTTAATTTTTCTTTCTAAAATGTATCTCTCCACATCACAACCATAGATCACTAAAGATCAGTCCAACAACGTGTCCTTCCTTATAAACCTAAAATCATTCTAACCTACAGTTATAACAAGGGGCTTGTTCCTAACAAGCACAGTGTCACAACCGGTCACTGACCAATGCTTTTGACGCCCTAAGCCACTAAAACTAGAGGCTTCCAGTGGTGCTGATCAGTGCATTGATTGTCTGATCATCTGGAGACCATGTTGGAAACAGTGGTAAGACTGAAATAATTGGATGGCTGGGCGGAAATCCCCTCAGTGAGACTTGGATAAGTGATCAGAAAGGAAGACATTCAGCAACCAACTCAAGATAAGGTCTGATGTACTGTAAGGTTGTGTG